GTGTGTGTGTGTGTGTGTGTGTGTGTGTTATATAGTTAGTTAGTTAGTTAGTCTTTTGTCTGGTGAAAAAAAATTCCCTGGAACCTAACCCCCCCCCCATTTACATTAATTCTTATAGGGAAATTGGATTCGCTTAACATTGTTTAGTTTAAAGTCGCATTTTTCAGGAACATAACTACAACGTTAAGTGAGGAGTTACTGTACTTGAAAAGAGTAAGGCTGTGGTTGGCATTTCCCTATTGTAATCTGTAATGAAGACTGATACAAAGAAATCATTTGGCTTCTCTGCAGTGTTATCCTCAGTCATTACTTCCTTAACTCTCTATTCCAGCAGATTTACACATTCTTTTGTTGTCTTCCTGCTTCTCATAATTTTAACAAATGTCTTATTTATTTTTATACCTTTAGCTACTTGTGCTTCATATCTATCTTCACCCTCCCACTCTCCTTGAATATTACTTGATGTAACTTATGCTTCCCTTTATTAGCTGCACATGAGTTGCCCTTCCATTTTCTGAAGGCTCAAATAAGGTCTTCAATCTTACTGCTTAATCATATTGGTTTTCTACTTGCCTTCCTAGTTCCTTTTTTTAAATTAAGGGATCAAGCCCAACGTTTGTGTAGTTGAGGAGATATATGAAGAATAAATTTCTACAAACTTTCCAGAAATAGTAATGCCTAGTGTCACAGTTCAGGGCAACTGCACCTGTATTTCCCTCTCTGTGATCCAGCAAGGACATCAACTTTTAGGCTTCTGGCTGTCTGCTGTCACTTCTCTGGGAAAGAGATGCACATCTCTCTCCCTCCTGACCAGTGGATTTCCAGGCAGTGCAGTTTCCTGCCTATACTGTGTTATTCACAGCAAGCTAGACTGCCTAGACCAGAGGTTCTCACAACAATTTTTTGGTGGCCTCGGAGTGCGGCCATCAACTTTCACTGGTGGCCGCACTGACACTTTTTCCTAAAATATTTAATTAACTTTAGGAAAAACAATTAAATATGCACAGATACACATCCAAATCATTGTAATTTATATTTGTAGGTTTTTTTGGCACACTCAGTAATAAAAATAACGCTGCCTCCCCCTTCGGGAGTGATATTTGTATATTTGTTAATATCACAGCACACTTTGTAGCTACCTGGGAGGCTATGAAAAGTGATAAGTGATATTAACAAATATACAAGTATCACTTTTCACAGATAGCTAGTAAGTCTGCTGTGAAAAGTGATACTTGCATGTTTGTAAATATCACTTTTCTCAGCAAACCCTAGGACCCATTAAGCTCTGGGAGTGGGGGAGGGGGCGAGGTTGAAGGGGCAGGCATCAGGGGCCAGAGGCGATGGTGGGATGGATGTGGGGCTGGGGAGGCAGCGGGGGCCCGGGGCAATGGTGGGGATGGATGCAAGGTTGTGGGAAGCAGCGGGGGCCAGGGGCGATGGGGATGGATGATGAGTCCCACTGTTGCGTGGCCAGCCCCAGGGCCTGGTGTCTGCTGTCATGCGGCCAGGGCTGGGGCTCAGTGCCTGCAGCCAGAGCCTGGTGCTGGGGACAGGAACTGCATGGCTGGAGCCAGGGATCGGAGCCTGCTGCCATGCAGCCAGAGCTGTGGGTCAGCGCCCGGGGCCAGTGCCTTCTGCCGCACAGCCAGAGCACAGTGCTAGGTGCCAGAGCCCAGGCTTGCGTGGCTGGAGCCAGGAATCAGTGCCTGCCGCTGTGTGACTGGAGCCAGCACTTGCTATTGTGCGGCCAGGGCCAGGTGTTGGCACCCAGGGCCAGCTCCCACCACCGCGTGGCTGGAGCCCAGGAACAGAGCTGAGGGTCGGCGCCTGCTGCCATGCAGCTGGGGCAGGAGATCAGCGCCAAGGGCTGGGGCTGTGTGGCCGGAGATGTGGATGGCGCCTGCCACTGCGTGGCTGGAGCTTGGGACTGGAGCCGGGGGCCAGCACCTGCTGCCACACAGCTGGAACCAGGGGCCGGAGCTGAAGCCCCGCAGCTGGAGGCCAAGGCCTCGTGACCAGAGCTGGGGGGTGGAGGGGCAGGAGGTGAGTACCCACTGCCCTGTGGTCAGAGCCCGGGGCCTCATGGCCAAGCTCCTGAAGTCCCACTGCTAGAGCCTGCCGCCCAAAACCCCTCCCCCCAAGGTGGGTCAAGAACTCACCTTGCTCCTGCAGCGTTGTGCCCCATCTCCTTCCAGAGGCAGTGCAGGGCGGCACATCCAGGAGCAACAAGGAGGGAGTGGGAGGGGCTGATGTTCCCCCCCGCATTGCCTCCCAGGAGGCTGTCGTGGCCACTTGAAAACCCCCTGGTGGCCACATTTGAGTAACATTAGCCTAGACAGGCCAGCATCTGTGCTTTGCTTTCTCCTTAGAGGCTATAAACAGCGTAATTATGCACAGTTATAATTTACCACACAGCTCTTTCTAAATAAGCACATTTGGTGAAAGCATTACAGAGGAAATGTATTAAAAACAATAAGAACTTACACACATGCTAAAATGACCAGTTGGTCACCCCACCCCCAACCTTGGGGTCTGGTGCTGGTGTTAGTCTTTCCAGGTCTTCCCTAAGGATTGGGGCCCCCTTTGGACAGAAGGACCTGTCAGTTTTCTGGATCAGAAAGAAGTTCCTGAGTCAGCTTATGCAATTTCTTTGCTTGTCTGTTGGTCTCTGGAGAATCCAGATTGAACCAGTATGCCACTCTCCAAGTAGTGATACTTCTCTGGAGGTGTTACAACCTGAGTGGATTTGCTGAATCACCCCTTACTGCTCTTTGTTCTTGGATGACTGTGGTCCCCTCACTTATGGAATTACATACAATCGCTAGTCTATAATGATATGTAAACTTAATACATTAAGTATGACTGGGTTTAAAAAAAAATAAGATAAGTTCATGGAGGATAGGGCCATCAATGGCTATTAGTCAAGATTGTCAGGGACGCAGATCCATGCTTGGCGTGTTTGTAAACATCAGACTGCTAGAAGCTGGGACTGGATGATAGGGTGGATCTCTCGATAAGTGTCCTGTTCTGTTCACTCCTTCTGAAGCATCTGCTACTGGTCACTGTCAGAAGATAGCATACTGGACTAAATGGACCATTGGTCTGACCCAGTATGGCCATTATTTATAGTGTGTAAGAGCTCCCAAAGATATTGCAGGAAATTGCCATATCTGTCACAACTGGACTTAATAGAGGTACATTGGAGACCTAAATTAGAGGTACTTGCCCTTCAGCCTTCCAATATTTGTAGCAGATACTATATATCTACAAGACCTTCCATTTTAGATAATTTTAAATAAGAATTTTTACTACTTTGAAGTTCTTACTCATCTTGCATAAAGAGCACAAAGTGGCTGAGTTAGAATGTGACATAATATCCATTATATTATTCAGTTATATTTATGGTTTCATCTTGTGCCCGTTTTTTCTTTTAATAGAGATCACAGAATGCTAAAGTTACAAGATTTAATAACAAAAGCTTAATTTTTTTTCTTTTTTTGCAGTACCAATATTAGCTTGCGGTGGCGATGACTGCAAAATTAATTTGTATATTCAACAGAATGGGCAGGTAATTATTGCTTCATATCCTGTCTTGAAGTAAAATACTCATTCTTTTCTGCTTCATTTCTTTTGATGTGTGCTGCTATTCTTTTTGGCTTCTTCTATAACTGTTATCTCTCCCTAGAGAGCCATCACATAATAACAGCTTTATTTAAATTCTGTTTCAGGTATTTAGTTTTCCTGCATAGCTAATAATGGATGACACCAAGAAGGCTGAGGTGTTTAATGCCTATTTTGGTTCTGTCTTAACTAAAACAGTTAGTATTAAATGTGCTAAGCATCTGATCACAACTCACAACAAGGGGCAAGTAACACAATCCAGAATAGGGGGGAAAAGTGTAAGGCCTGATGAAATTCACCCTAGAGTACTTAAAGAACTAGTTGAAACAATTCTCAGAACTTTTAACAATGATCTTCAATAACTCATGGAGGATGGGTGAGGTCCCAGAGGACGGGAGAAGGACAAACATAGTACCTATATTTAAAAAGGGGAACAGAGACATGAATCTAGCTTAGATTCCTGGAAAGACAGTGGAACAAATTATTAGACCCTTTATAAGCACTTAGAGGATGATAACAGGGTGATAAGGAATAGACAACATGGATTTTTCGGGAACAAATCATGCCATACCAACCTAATTTCCTTCTTTGACAGGTTACTGTCCTAGTGGATAGGAGAGAAATGGTATATGTGGTATCTTGATTTTAGTGAAGCTTTTATAATAATAATAATAATAATAATTAATAATTACACAGTCTAATATGGCATTCTCATAAACAAACTAGGGAATTGTGGTCTGGAGGAACTTACTGTAAGGTGGGGGCACAACTGATTGGAAAACCATGCTAAATAAAAAGTTTTATTAATGGTTCTCTGTGAAAGCGGGACGACTTATTTAGTGGGTTTCTGCAGGGGTCTGTCTTGGTCTGATGCTAGTCAATATTTTCATTAATGACTTGAAAAATGGAGTGGAGAGTATACTTACAAAATTTGCTGATGGCACCAAGCTGGGAGAGGTTGCATGCATTTTGGAGAACAGGATTAGAATTCAGAAGGACTTTGGTAAATTTCAGAATGGTCTGAAATCAACAAGATGAAATTCAATAAAGACAATTGCAAAGTATTACACTTAAAAAAATCCAACATACAACTAAAAATGTAGAATAACTGGCTAGGTGGGTAGTACTGCTGAAAAGCATCTGGTGATTATAGTGGATGAGAAACTGAACATGAGCCAAAAGTGTGGTGCAGTTGCAAAAAAAGCTAATGTTATTCTGAGGTTTATTAGCAGAAGTGTCATATGTAAGACACAGAAGGTAATTGTTCCACTTTACTTGGCAGTGGTGAGGTCTCAGTTGGAGTATTGTTGCCAGTTCTGGGTGCCATACTTTAAGGAAAGATGTGGACAAATTCGAGAGAGTCCAGAGGTGACCATAAAAAATGAAAAAAGACTTAGAAAGCCTGACCTATGAGGAAAGGTTAAAAAAAAAAAGGGGAGGCATGTTTAGTCTTCAGAAGTGACTGAGGGAGGATCTGATAACACTCTTCAAATATGTTGAGGGCTGTTATAAAGAGCATGGAGATCATATGTCCTACCTTCAGTGGACTTGGAGAAGAAGTATAATGGGCTTAATATATAGAGCAAAGGAGATTTAGATTAGATATTAGGAAAAAGCTTCTTACTATAAGGATAGGTAAGCGCTGGAATGGGTTACCAAGGAAGGTTGTGGAAACCCTATAATTGGAGGTTTTTAAGGACAGGTTGGACAAACTCCTCTAAGGGATGGTTTAAGGTCCTGCCTTTGCACAGGGGGGATGGACTAAGATGACCTCTTGAGGTCCCTTCCAGCCCTACATTTCTATGATTTCTTAGGTAATCATGAAATACAGATATGTCAGTTTCACACACGGAAATCTCAGGGTTTTTTAAATATTTCTCTCTATGAAAAGAAAACCTACCTCAGTCCAACCATTGAAATAAAGTAATTATGCATCTCTTTCCTTAAGGAGTATCCAAGCATTTAGTATATCATTTGAAAATAACGTCCTCAATTGAAAATGTAAATATCGTAGTCTAATTGAAATTACATTATTACTCTTTTTGGAATTGGGCATTTCCCATTAAAATTGCCTTCTGTGCCTTCTGAGTGCTTCTGAAAGTTCAAAAGAACCTTTGAAGCACTTGATATCCAGTAAGTTGTGACTTGTGTTCAGTATGTGTGAAAAGTACTGTGTGTCATTTGGAACATGGAAACTTTTAATTTTTCATATAGTTAACTATCAAAAGTATTCAAATGAGAATATGGGGTGGAGCTCTAATAGTGTATCTGAATTTTTAGCTCCTATCAAAACTTAAAAATGTTTGTGTCCCTCTGGCTTTTGGAAACTTTTTTTAATTTTTTCCATTGACAAGTCATTCTGGCAAGGTCTCCCAAACATGTGGTGATGATTTTTTATATATCTTTTGTGATAGACATTAGAGACTAAATAAAAAATATTTCTCTGATATACACAACTTACTGTCTGAGGCCTTGTTTACAGTAAATTCAGACCTACAATTCACCCTTTGGGCAGCTCTACTGGGGTGAATTCTGGGTCTGAATTTGCTAGTGTTTATATACACACAGAATGAAGGATTTCGGAAAGCTGTGGCTAGAATGCTAATTTTTTGTTGGTGATGCTGCTGCATTGTGGCCAAGAATTTCAAAAGTGATTTTATTTTGTGTCTCAATTTTTGGGTGCCCAACTTAAGATACCTTAAAGGTACTTGATTTTCAGAAAGTGCTGATCAACTGGTCTTTGAAAAATCAAGCCTCTTCTAAGACATTTACATCTTCAGAGTCTGTATTTGAAGATACTTTAAACTCAGTTCTTCTGGAGCTGGGGAGGATCCCTGATTTCAGATCTCACATGGTAAAATCCTGAAGCAATACCCGCTTGAAAATTTTGGGGTGTGTTGTATGCTGGTTGGGTTAGCTGCTCAGTGTAAGGGCTAAAGAGGTCCATTGCAGCTAAAGTTCAGAAACTTGGCTCATACCCTATCCAAATTGACACCATTGGTAATAAGCCACTCTACACTCCTTACAGTCATGAAATGACATGGCCAAGGCAATAAAGAAAAGGTTCAGAATATACTTGTGAATGTTGGATTATATTCTGGGTCATAGCCACTGTTTCTGTTTTTGGGCCCTCATAGAGTGGACATTATTACTAATACACAGTTTCAAGGTTACTTGAAGCATAACCAATTTTCTTGCATTTGTTTAAGTGCAAAGTTGCAGGGTTTAAAATAAGTCCCCCACCACCCCTGCATGCCTCTCCTCCATTCAAAAAGCTTGAGAATCTATGAACACCCAGTTGAACCTGTATGTTCCTTCTTAAAAGTATTTGTCTGTATCTTTTAACTTTAGGTAATTAATGAGATGCAATCAAATACAGTTTTTTTCAGAGTAACATTTTGTCATTTTTTTCTAAAACTCAATGTAAATTTAATATTTTTTAAGGTTTTATACCAATAGCTTGTCCTTTTTCTCACTCCCCCATTCCATTAAGACCCACTGTTACCTTCAGCTCCCTTTTTCATCCAGGTGTAGTCCAGTCATCAATTCCTGCCCACCAGGCCCAGTGTTATCAGTGTACATTAGAAGAAACCTAATTCAGTACATTAGGCGACATTTAAACTTGTACTTACTGGTCAGTTCCTCCTCTTTCCTTTCTTTGTTTTGAGTTTCAAGAGCTTGACATTTTATACAAAGTGAGGGTGGTCCCCATTTTGATAGTGAACACAAACTAATTTTAAGAATGGTGGTCTGAACCTGAATTCACATACTTTATTTAAAAAAACAAACATCTTTTTGATCTGTATTTTAAAATAATCTCTTACTCTCTCCTCTCTATTTCTGTTCCTTGACCTACTGCCAGCTCTGCAGATAGTTTCCCCTTCACTCCCATATTTTCTCTTTCAGGGGCACATATTTATTTGAATAAAATGTTACACCTCATCCTGTCTCCTTTCAAGTTAATTTGGTGTGGAAGATTGAGTTTACAAACACTGCCTCCTCCCCTAGCCAGTAAAGATCCTTCACCCTTCCCAGTCAACAGTGACTCTTTGGTGTTGAACCATCCCCCTCAGACTCTCATCATAAGAAAAATAAAGTTTTGTGTGTGGGAGGGTGGAGGACAGGTTGATAAAGGAAAGTTCAGATAAACCCTAAAAAGGGATTGTTGTCATATTCTTGAGCAAGGTGAAATCTCTTCTGCTTCAAGTCATAAAATTCATGCTGAGAGCAATCTGAATATACTTATTCCTAAAATCAGCTAGGTTTTTGAGAGTGAGGGGTCAGATGTGAAATCCTTGAAGACTACTGTACCAAGAAATCCCTTGTAGGATGAAAGAGTATGGGGAAACTACTGTTTCTTTTTTTGTGAGTCTTTGAAAGATAGTGTTGATTCAGAATTGTGGCTCCCAGGGAAGAAAAGTTATATATCTCTTCCTGCATCAGCATTCTTAACAAGGCCTCTCAAGAGAAACTTAAGGAAAACAAAAACAACAAGCCATCCTTGTGGCACCTTAGAGACTAACACATTTATTTGGACAACAGTATTTTAAAAATTTTAAAATTTGCATAAGGTTCTTTTTAGTCAAAATGGAACCAGACTGTTGGCATGTAAAATAAATGAGTTTGGAGAAATGGCTCAAATAAAAGCTGGGGGGAAAGCGGCAGGAGCTGAAATGCGCACAAGTTGGACAAAGACATTGTTAAAGATGTGGGTAGTACAATGGTATCTGTATATCCAATAAAGGGTAGAGTGAAAATACAACTACGCTAGAGCAGAGACAGGATAACAACACAGAGGTACATTCCACAAAATTAGCTTGGCCTTGGATCAAGGAGTTATATAAAAACAGACATGTAGGCAAGAATAAAAGTGAGAAGTGTCTGTGTGCCAAGGCAAGAGTTTTAAAAGCAAAATTAGGTATCACAGAAATGTGGCGGAATGATCAA